GGCGCCGAGCCAACAGGGTATTTTCATTTCTAATACCTTTTCCTAATGACTCTTGGATTTTGCCAGGCTTTCTGGAGAAAGTGTACAAGGGGTCATTATCTTGAAGGAGTGGTCTCCAGATAGATATTCTGAGCTTCCCTTCTGTCGCCAAGATAAGTTTTTTATTTTTATTTCTAAAGTAGTTACTACTTCCTGATAAGATGAATTTTATTTAATGGTCAATCAATTTAATGGTTACTCAGAATGTGACTTTATACAGAGAGTAGAATTGTGGGTATCAGAGGCTGGGACATGTATGTGGGAGGGGAGGAGGACAGAGGTTGGCTAATGGATATGAAATTACAGCTGGATATGAGGAAAGAGTCCTGATGTTCTGCAGCACTGTGGGGTGAATGTGCTTAACTATAATTTGTTGTGTATTTTCAAAAAGCTATAAAAGAGGATTTTGAATGTTCACAACACAAAGAACTGATAAATGTTTGAGGTGATAGATATGCTAATTACCCTGAACTGATCATTATACATTGTATATATGTATATGTATTGAAATAGCCCCTAAGTACACTTAATTATTACAGGTCAACTAAAAATAAAAGAGATCAATAAAAGAATTATGTTAAAAATTATTTCTTAGTAATACAGACATTGTCACATATTAGAAAATAACTCCAGCCTGGGAAACAGAGCAAGACCTTGATTCTAATTAAAAAAAAAAAAAAAAAGAATGACCAAAATAAGAGAGAATAGAAAAGTATTTCCACCATTCAGTGAATAGCAGTGCTAGGACCAGTATTTATCCTGACAGACATTATTTGTATTATTTCCTTTTTGTCACAACATGAGAGCAAATAACACATGCTATTACCTGATTTTTCCTCAGTCAATGATCTCCATTTTTCTGTTTCAACACATTTTATCTCATTTAATAATTAAACTACGTATACAGAGGGTTTCAAAAATATATGTACACATTTTAAGATAAGTTATCTACATATTACTTTTTGAAATTGAATTGAAGGTACTGTTACTGGTCAAGTGTACTTACACTGTTTGGGAATGATCAATTTTACTTCCAACAAGATCGCTTAAAATGTGTATACATGCTTTGGGGCACTTGTGGTATATTTTTGAAAAATACAAAAGAATGTGACTTCATAAATCTGTCCTGCAACTACATTCAATCTGAATGTTTTGACAACTGTGTGAATACATGAATGTCCAGAACAAGTATAAAATATTTTACATTTCCTGGAGGAGGTCAAAGGGGGGAAAGTCAGGAATGATCAGTATTTGTCAGATTGTTGCATTTACTGCTATTTTAATTTAATTTAATTTTTATTTATTTATTTATTTATTATTTTGGAGACAGAGTCTTAACTTTGTTGCCTAGGTAGAGTGATTTGGTGTCATAACTCACCGCAACCTCAAACTCTTGGGCTCAAGCAATTCTCTTGCCTCAGCCTCCCAAGTAGCTGGGATTGCAGGCACCCACCACAACACCCAGCTATTTTTAGAGAGGGGGTCTCGCTCTTGCTCAGGCTGGTCTGGAACCGGTGAGCTCAGGCAATCCACCCTCCTCAGCCTCCCAGAGTGCTAGGATTACAGATGTGAGCCACCCACCCGGTCCTTACCACTATTTTAAAAGGGGTAGGGGTGGGGCAAGAAAACAAAGTCTGCAAAAAGGTAAAAACTTTAAGCCTGAGGGTGGCTTACAAGTGTAATGGGCTCAGCAGGGTAATATAAATTAACAAGGTTGGATGATAAGATATGTAAGGGCAATGAAAAACTTTAGAAAACACACCAATTTTTTTTTGTTTTTGAGACAGAGCCTCAAGCTATCCCCCTGGGTAGAGTGCTGTAGCATCACAACTCACAGCAACCTCCAACTCCTGGGCTTAAGCGAGTCGTCTCTTGCCTCAGCCTCCCAAGTAGCTGGGACCACAGGCACTGAGCCGAAAACATGCCAAATTTATAGGGAGGCAGCCAACTATCAGTCAACAGTTTCCATGTGGGAAGGTAGACCCCAGTGTGATTTTTCAAAAGAACCAGAAATCTGGCTTCTTAGAGGAAATTACCTAATTTTTAAAAGCTGACAACTAATTCAAAGTGGCAGGATGGAAAGAGGGGAGAGAGGGAGAAAAGAAAAAAGAAAGAGAATCCTGTGCAGACCAAACAGAACAATGATAGGGCCCAGGGGGCTGCCAGTAGGTGACTCTTGCCTTACAGGAACTTCCTAGGGCCTATCTTACCCCAGCAATTCAAGAATTAAGAATTAAATTTGGATCGGCGCCAGTGGCTCAAGTGGCTAAGGCACCAGCCACATACACCTAATGTGGTGGGTTCAAATCCAGCCCGGGCCCACCAAACAACAGTGATGGCTGCAACAACAAAAAAAATAGGCAGGTGTCATGGAGGGCACCAGTGGTCCCAGCTACTTGGGAGGCTGAGACAGGAGACTCGCTTGAGCCTGGAAGTTGGAGGTTGCTGTGAGCTGTGATGCCATGGCACTCTACCCAGGGGGACAGCTTGAGGCCTTGTCTCAAAAAAAAAAAAAAGAATTTAATTCAAGACACACTTGGAAGTAGATCAGATATCAGATGCAGGCAGAATTTGCATTCACTTGCCAGTTCTTTAAAGCTAACCAGACTTTTTATTGAGCACCCAACATAATGCAAAGTCTACTATTACCACATATTAAAAATGAAATACATTAACAATTTATTACACGAAGCAGAGATACAACTTCTATAATGATCAAAATGACTCTGAGATACATACTTACATTTTAGCTGTTTTGTAAAAAATATGTTTAAATACAGAGAATTGTTTTTTAAAAATCTACTGGAGCACTCAACTTACACAATTCACTTTTGAATTTAGAAGGTTAATGGGAAAGTTTCAGGACATTAGGCATGGCTCTGTGAAAAGGTTGCACTTGTGAGAGAATTGAAAAGCAACCGTCCTGAAAACTTTTCCTTGGAGCCAGTTTTGACCTGTGCGGCTTCAACTCTCTCAGAAGTCATTGATGACAAGAAGTGGTACCCAAGTTCATGACAAGTCAGAAAGGGAAAGAAAGTCTGCAATCTCGCTAGCTGAGTAGGTGAAGACATTGACGAATTCAACTTTGCTCAGGTTATCAATGACTTATGATTACATTTTAATATAAATGTGTTAAACAGTATAAATTGTATCCTGCTCCCCACGTGAGATTCACGTCACTTTAGTCATTCTGTTTCTTCCTTATCTCAGCCTCTGTCTGTATCCGTTATCCTCCCCAATCTCCAGTTTTTTTAAGGTACCCCTATTTCTGTTTCCATTTTTTCTTCTGCTGTTAATCAGAGTTGAGACTCTTCAAATTTTTCAACTTTTCTGGTGTACCAGACATTCTCCATACCTCCCTACACTCTCATTCCAACTCCCCCCCACCCTAACCCCATTCTAGAACCTGGACTCCTCCCATTCTCTAACTGGGTATCCCTTAATCTAAGATGCCCTTAGCGTCTCCTCCCCTGCTGCACTGATTTCCCCGTACCCACAACATCCCCCATCGACCCTCCCGAGGCCTGCAGCCTCAGCCGTTCCAGAAGTTGACAAAAAAGTTGCAGAGGGAGTGCCACTTCTCAGCGCAGTAGGTCTTTGTGAGCTCGGTGTTCTCGTCCAGCGCATCCGCGTAGGGCCCAGTCCCCATAGGTCGCTCCTCGTGGGGATCCGAGGCCGCCTTCCTCTTGTCCCCTTTGGTCTTCTTTTCTTTGGGCCGCACGCTCGGCGCGAGGCCGGCGGCGTGCTCCCGGGACCGTCCCCGGCTCCTGGCTCGGGGCTTGGGCTCCCCCGGGAAGCCGGCGGGGGTAGGGTGGGCGGGCTGGGACGCTCCGGACACTAGGCGTAGCTCCGCGCCGTGGCCCTTCTTGCCCGCGCACAAGCGGGCCTGGAGCGGCGAGGGGTCGTGGCAGGGCCGCCGCTTCTTGCGCAGCGCGCCCAGCACCTGCTTCCAGTAGTGCGATCGGCGAGCGGTGTAGGTGGCGCAGCGCTCCGGTTCCCCGCGGTAGGCACACTGGTGGCGCGCCCCGTCCGGACCCTGGCAGCGCAGCGCAAGTTCGCTGCCCTCTGCGGCCCCTGGGGTGGGCAGCAGAAGCTGCCAGCTGCACGCGTGCTGCTCTGGGCTGATGAAGCGACCCGAGGAGCCTCCCCTGGGACCTGGAGGAACCGGTTCCACCGCGCTGCCAGCTGCCCCCTGATCCCTCCGTCCGGCGGCGAGGAAGCAGCCGCCCAGCAGCAGCAGCAGCGAGAGGGACGCTCGTAGCCAAAGAGAACTCATGGCCCGTGGTATCCGTTCTCTCTCTTCTGGGACTCCTGAGCCCTTCAAAAGAGGCAGGGCCAAGCGAGGAGCATCCCCAGGGACCTGCGGACAGAAGCAGAGACGGCTACCAGTTGAACCAGGCGTAGCCCCACGCCCAGCTAAATGCACCTGCAAGTTCACCTCCCCAGATTTTCTGGAAGCTGGTTTTCCTAGTGGGCGGTTACAGCCTAAGATGGGATCCTCAGAAGAGTCTGAGGGAAAATGCTTACTGTAAATAATCACTGTGAAACCATTCGGGCATTGAGATTTTCTTCCCCTTGCAAATACAAGAGCAAACCGTGCATAATAATTACCACCTGTCCCTGTTCCTTCACCTCCTGTCTTCTCCACCCTCCAAGGAACTATTTCTAGAATCACTTCAGATTATTCCTCGGAAACATGGGCTTTTCCTGCACGTTGAACTTACCGAGTTCTGGAAGAGGTGCTGGAAGCCTTATTAAGTTAGAGAGAATGACTGCATGAGGGATTAGCTGTTTTAGCCGGCTCTCCGTGAATGAATGTGTTATCAATGGGACCCGAGGGGCCTCCCCCGTTATGCCCCTCCCAGACTTCTCTCAAACTGGGAGGTTTCCCACCACCACGACACACACACACACACACACACCCCACCCTAGATGTGTGATAGAAGCAGCCCTGTAGCTTGAAATAAAAATCTTGTATTTTGCTTCCAATGTTTAAAATAAGCATGCAAATTTACACAAATCTTTCTTCTTTCCTTTTACATACTTACCTGAAAAATAAAAGTTAAACAGAAATATCTAAGTTTTTCTTTTTTAATTATGACTTTTGTTCTTTGTTTGTGTGGGGTATTATTTTTTTTTTTTTCCCAGTTTTTGGCCGGAGCTGGGTTTGAACCTGCCAGCATATGGGGTAGGCGCTCTACTCCTTTAGCCACAGGCGCCGCCCTGTTTGTGGTGTTTTTTGTTTTTTGGGTTTTTTTTGAGACAGAGCCTCAAGCTATCCCCCTGGGTAGAGTGCTGTGGCATCACAGCTCACAGCAACCTCCAACTCCTGGGCTCAAGCGAGTCTCCTGCCTCAGCCTCCCAAGTAGTTGGGACCATAGGCTCCGGCCACAACGCCTGGCTATTTTTTGATTGCAGCCGTCATTGTTGTTTGGCCAGCCTGGGCTGGATTCGAACCCGCCACCTTAGGTGTATGTGGCAGGTGCCTTAGCTGCTTGATTCACAGGCGCTGAGCCTGTTTGTGTGTTTTTTAAGGGCTCTCTACTCTGTTGCCCTGAGTAGAGAGCCTGCCATGCATTCATCACAGTTCACAGCAACCTCAAACTCTTGGCCTTGAGGAATCCTCTTGCCTCAACCTCTGGGACTATAGGCACCTGTCACAATGTCCAGCTAGTTTCTTCTATTCTTAGTAGAGACCAGGATCTTACTCTTGCTTAGGTTGGTCTCAAACTCCTGAGTTCAAGCAAATCCACCTGCCTTTGCTTCCCAGAGTGCTGGGATTAGAGGCGTGAACCATAGGGCCTGACCCAAGAGATCTAAGTTCTAAGAGTTCATTTCAATAAAATGAAATAAAACAAAACAACCATAAATATCCTAAACTTACCAGCCCACGCGGTGGCTCATGCCTGTAATCCTAGCACTCTGGGAGGCCAAGGCGGGCAGATGGCCTGAGCTCACAGGTTTGAGACCAGCCTGAGCCAGAGCAAGACCCTGTCTCTAAAAACATCTGGGCGTTGTGGCGGGCGCCTGTGGTCCAGCAACTCCGGAGGTTGAGGCAAGAGAATTGCTCGAGCCCTAGAGTTTGAGGTTGCTATGAGCTGTGAAGTAACAGCACTCTACCGAGGGCAACAAAGTGAGACCCTGTCTCAAAAAAACCCCCCAAAACTAAACTTACATAATTGCATTTTTTCATTCGTCCTATTTTTTCCACAACATTCTTTTTTTTTTTTTTTTTGAGACCCAGTCTCACTATGTCGCCCTCGATAGAATGCCGTGATGTTACAGCTCACAGCAACCTCCAACTCTTGGGCTTAAGCAATTCTCTTGTCTCAGCCTCCCAAGTATCTAGGACTACAGGCACTGGCCACAATGGCCCAGCTATCTTTTGGTTGCAGTTGTCATTGTTGTTTGGCAGGCCCGGGCTGGATTTGAACCCACCAGTTCAGGTGTATGTGGCTGGAGCCTTAGCCACTGAGTTACAGGCGCCGAGCCTTTTCCAAAACATTCTGAATCCTATATTTTCACTCATCATTTCCAATAGTCTTTCTTATCCCAATAACTAAATGTTAATCCTAATAACTGTAACCACTAATAAAAATATATCTCAGTTTATTAATGACCAGAGTGTCCAGAAGTTCACCCAAGGTGGGCATTTGGGCTTTTGATTATTTTTAGGTGTTGTAAATCAGTTATAAATATAGGCTTTCAAAAGTTGGAAGTTTAAAAAAATTATTTATTTGCATTATAGTAATTGAAAAGTAAAATTACCAATTCAAATGGTATTATAATTAAGAATTAATGTATTTCAATAGCCGGACATTGTGGCGCGTGCCTGTGGTCCCAGCTACTTGGGAGGCTGAGGCAGGAGACTCGCTTGAGCCCAGGAGTTGGAGGTTGCTGTGAGCTATGATGCTATGGCACTCTACCCAGGGGTTCAGCTTGAGGCTCTGTCTCAAAAAAAGAAAAAAATAATAATTAGTGTATTTTGGGATCTTGAAAAATTTATATTTAAGTAAGCTATTTTTTTAAGCTTCAGGATAGTCCATGATATTTTCTTTTCTTTCTTTCTTTTTTTTTTTTTTTTGAGACAGAGCCTTAAGCTGTCCCCTGGGTAGAGTACCCTGGCATCACAGCTCACAGCAACCTCCAACTCCTGGGCTCAAGTGAGTCTCTTGCCTTAGACTCCCAAGCAGCAGCACCCACCACAAGGCCTGGCTATCCCTTGGTTGCAGCTGTCATTGTTTGGCAGGCTTGGGCTGCATTCAAACTCGCCACCTTAGGTGTATATGGCTGGTGCCTCAGCCACTTGAGCCACAGGCACTGAGCCATAGTCCATGATATTTTAAAATAGATGTTCACAATAAATGTGATTCCTCCCCCCCCCCAAGAGTTTATATCTCTGACTACTGGCTGAGAGCAGTAGGTCACACCTGTAATCTTAACATTCTAGGAGGCCAAGGTGGAAGAACTGCTTGAGGTCAGGAGTTTCAGACCAGCCTGAACAAAACCATATCCGTCTCTTCTAAAAATAGAAAAATTAGGCCTGGCAGGGTGGTTCAGGCCTATAATTCTAGCACTCTGGGAGTGCTGAGCCTCTGGGAGGCTGAGCTGAGTGGATCGCCTGAGCTCAGAAGTTAAGAGTCCATCCTGAGCAAGAGTCTCTAAAAAAATAGCCAGGTGTTGTGGCAGACGCTTATAGTCCCAGGTAATCCAGAGGCTGAGGCAAGAGGATCTCTTAAGTCCAAGAGTTTTAGGTTGCTGTGAGCTATGATGCCACTAACACTCTACCCAGGGTGACAGAGTGAGACTCTGTCTTAAAAAAAGGAAGAGAGAGAGAGAGAGAAATAAAGAAAGATTCCCAGTGTGGGGGTGTGTACCTGTAATCCCAGCTACTTTGGAGGCTGAGGCAAGAGGTTGCTTGATCCCAGGAGTTTGAGATTGCTGTGAGCTAGGCTGAGGCCTGGTATTCTAACTGGGCAACGGAGTGAGATTCTGTCAGAAAAAAGAAAGTAAGAGAGAAAAAAGGAAAGGCAGGAAAGGAAAGAGTTTGTACCTCTGACTACAATTATTTATACAAGTAAATATTTTCCTAAAATACTTCCCCAAGATGTCAGGAAGTCTCATTACATTCCCTGTTATATTCTTGCAGATAATATTTTCTGTTATTGGACTACTGTTGGTATTGTATTTCAACAATTATAATTTGATTTCTAGCATAAAATCCAAAATACTTTAGATTAGAAGAATTATTTAAATATACATAGTGTATATTAAAGATATAGTAATATATTATATTTTGACCCCAGAAAGGAAGTTTTACCACTTCAGTGAATTGGAAAAACCAGAGAAATTTAATGATTTACCCAAGGTCATACATCTTTTAGTGATAAAGCTGTAAGCCCTCTGACTAATGATCAATGATCTTTACACTTTGGCTTGGTATTTTAGAGGGCTACTTTCAAAGTTAGTTATGTCTTAAATTCTACTAATTTGATTTATAATGAAAACAATTTGTAGCTATGAAGTTAAGAAACTATTGGCATGATTTTCATAAATAATAGTAGCTAATTAATACATTTCGCAGATGGAAACCCAATCTTTCCCAGAAACCATATTTGTATGTGAGAAGCACTGATGAGTAGGGATAGGCTTTTTTTTTTTTGTAATTGGCACAGTTTTTCAGCTAAATAATGACATCTTGTGGCATAACACACTAATTACAATGAAAAAGTTTATTATCTGAAGAGTCATACTTATCAAGAGACATTCCAGAGACCATGCTTCTCTGTCAGAAATATTGTTTCCACAGTAACAAAGTTAAGGGCTCCCAGATGTGCTATGCCATGTCAGAAAAGGGGAGTTCTTCTTTTTAAATTGTGGTAAAATATACATCACAAAAATTTATTGGTTAGGAGCCCTGGCTCACACCTTGTAGTCCCAGCTACTCAGGAGGTTGAGGCAGAAGGATCCCTTGAGTTAGGAGTTTGAGACTAACCTATGCAAAAGCAAGGCCCTGTCTCTACTAAAAATAGAAAAATTATCTGACATTGTGGTGGGCACCTGTAGTCCCAGCTACTTGGAAGGCTGAGGCAGGAGTTTGAGGTTGCTGTGAGCTATGACGCCAGAGTACTCTAGCCTGCAGCAACAGAGTAAGAATAATATTTGATTGTATTTATATACTACATCTTGATAGACCCCAGTTGCCTCTATCTTTTTGATCTTATGAATATGAGCATTGTGTACAAACATCTATCCTAATTCCTGCTGCAATTCTTT